AAGTGTTTAGGTAAAAATCTAATGGATTTGTTGGTAGATGATAAAATTGAAAAACCGCAACATGTATGTGATAATTGTATTGATAAGTGTGTTATTGAGTATAATTTAATAAGAAGTAGAAGAAATGCAAGACTAGTCAAAAAGATGTTGAAGTTTGTGCATGAAATTCAGTTATCAGAACAGGAGAGGCATTTTGCTTTTTCAAAGTATATGATAGACAAACAAAGTTATTATGACAGCGAAAGAAAATGTTCTTTTTATACTCGAAATTTGTTAAATGAGGAATTGGAATCGTATATTGATGGGCAGTTACATTCGAAGCCTATTTTTAAGGCAGTGCAACAATATAAATTAGGCATACAAGACGTGACTTATAAAATTGTAACACCGACGGATTGGAGAGTTGTTTCTCAAGACGCGATGGGTTTTGCTTTGAAAACAATTGAAAAAGCCTACGATGTCAGCATTACAAAAACAGCAAAAAATGCATTGCAAAAATATATTTAGTTTTTTTTTTTGTTTATGTTATTATGAAAAAAAATAAAAAAAAAAAAAATAGTATTTTTTAATGTTCTTTTTTTAATATATTTACTATTTTTTTTTAATAAATTATTAACATTAGTTTCTTTATTTAATACATTTTTTATTACATTTTTTCATTTATTACAATAAAATAAAAATAATTTTTTTTCATTTATTTATTAAAGATAAAAAATGTCTGTAAGAGAAAAAATAATATCATTTTATGTTATTGACGAAGCAGGAATAACAAAAAGATATACTCAACCTTTTACTGGCTTTTCGATAAAAACACATTTGGAGAATAAAAGCAATTTGGAAAATAATAACAAAACGGAAAGCGATTTGGAATTGAAAAAAAGAAAAAAAGATTATTCATTTTTTTAGTTTAAAAAAAAATGTTTCAAGTAAAAAGTCAATCGACTAGTGTGTTTAAGCAAATACTTTTAAAACGTTGTTTGATTGTGTGTCAAGAATGGAGGTATGCAGCTGATGTGCAGGATTTTATAAAAGATTTTATATTGAATTGTCGACACGATACGGATATTCATGATATACGCGATATTCATGAGGACTGGATTTACGTAAAACAATTGATAACTTGCGAACGAAATGCAGAGATGGAAGAACACATGGAAGACTATGTTCAATATATATCACTAGCTTTGTTAAAACAATGTCGTATTTTGAAGTATTTTTTGTACGGTAAAATGAGTTATGAAGATGTTGAACAGTTAGATTGCAGTTTGGAAAAAGTGAGAGCACCGAGTCCGTATTTTACTTTAACTAATTTATTTGCGCCCACTTGGGAATCATTAAACCATTCGATGTTTACAAAATTACAAAATGCTTCTACTGCGTTTTCGCATTGAAAAGCATTTTATGTGCGTCCAACAGCGTATTACAAATATGAAAGGTTATGGTTGATATTTCGTTACATTTATCTGCAGCAAGTTTATTTTAAAAAAAAATCCCATTATGAGTTATTAACAACTAGTTTCTTGTCGCCTACTGATTTGGAAGAAGAGCGCTTTCATTATGATATGATTGAATTATTTAATAATTTTTTAGTGCGTGCTAATTGTTACCTTGACGATTGTCAAATAGAAGATACAAAACATCATAACAAACATTGTAGATTACGAAGCTGTAAAGATATATCTTTGACTGATATTTTAAATATGCCTAATCTACGTTACATGTATTTGCAATTTAATTGAAAAAAATATTTTTTTATTAAATTTTTTTTTGTATATATCAAATATAACTTTTTTTAACAAAAAAAACCATAATAAAATATAACTTTTTTAATTAATTTTTTAAAAAAACTTTTTTTTTATAGAAAAAAAAACTAAAAAAATGTTTATGTCATTGAAAGGGTCGGCGAAAATGCCAATACGAGCTACACAAGGTAGCGCTGGTTTTGACATTTTTGCTATGGAAGACGTGTATTTATTAAAGCGAGCAACTGTTAAAGTGCCTACTGGTATTCGAATGCAAATTCCTGTCGGGTATTATGGACAATTGTTATCGAGATCATCATTAGCTGCTCAAAATATAACAGTAGAAGGTGGCGTTATTGATAGCGATTATTGCGGAGAAATTTGTGTTTTGTTAAAGAACAATAACGACCGTGAGTTTGTAATTAAAACAGATTTAGCTATAGCTCAATTAGTATTTTTGCAATGTTTTTCGCCACAACTTTTCATTGTTGTTCCTGAAGAGGAGTTAACAAGCACAGGAAGAGGAATTGGTGGATTCGGTTCAACTGACTGTATGCAAAGAATATAATTGTATAAAAAACAATAAAAATACATTGTAAAAAAAAGTTTATTACAGAAGAAAAAAACGTGTAAGAATTTTTAAAAAAAATTTTTTTTTATAATGATTATTAAGATTGAAATAAATTGGTTTACTTAGTGAGAAAAATAAGTTTTTATTTTTATATATATATTTGTTCAATAAAAAAAATTTTTTTTATAGTAAAAAAATGAAATTTAAAAAAGAAATCAGCGAAGAAAAATACAATAATGATGTGTATTATAAAAAAATTTTATGGACATCGAAACGTTATTTGGATGAAAGCGGCCTCGATGATTTAATTGTTTCTGATCAAATGACGTGGGACGACGTCCGTGTGTTTATCGAAAACAAAACAAGAAATGTTATTTTAAAAGAAATGAGCAGAACTAAGAGACAGATGCCAAAAAGTCGGAATTTTTTAGTTGGTTTTGTGTCAGTGGTCATGTTTTATCGGTCAGAAGCGGACGGATATCGTCTTGTAAAATCAATATTTAGATCTCCAGTGCATTATGTTCGAACAATGGAAATTTCTAAAAAAATTGAAGAACTAGTGCATGATAATGTAGAAGGGAGCCGTCATGTTTCTCATATAGACAGCGGATTTGTTTTATATAATTTATCTCAATTTCAAGCGCAAATCATCAGTGGAATGAGTACTGAACGATTTGTCTTGTTAAGAAATTCCATTATTGGCGCACGCGATCCACTTTTGTATAAAATAAAAAAGTATGATTATCGAAACAAGGCTTTGTGTGACAATCCGTTATCAAAACGTAATTTAAAAATGGTTCAACAATATCTCAAACGAATACAATATGATCCGTTAAGTCGACAAAAACAATACGAAGATGATCCGTTAAGTTGACGATCGCTTGTCTTTGTAAGTCGTTTTCTAAAAAAGAAAAATCAAGCAGAATTGTTTCGTTTTTGTCCGTCGTACATTAATAAATTTGAATTGAGAAACACATGTATCGACTATTCGTATATGGTAGAAAAAGGTAATTGTTTCTATATGAGTTTTTTAGTATCGTTGGTGCAAATTAAGAAGCAATGGTTTTCCCCTAACGATTGGCAGGAAAGTTTAGATGAAGAACGACTTATAGAATATGCAACAAACGATTGTCTAGACATAAAAGAACAACTGAAATGGTTAAAAATAAGAAGTTTTAATATAAGTTATGAAGGTTTATCTATTCTTTTAGATGAAATAAGTGAACGGTCGGTTTGAAACAAATTTAACTTGGTCATTTTCAAGTGGTTACCTCAACCGGTGAGGGTTAATTAAAAATTTGAGAAAAGAAATCGTTTTCAACGTGTAGCCTATAAACGCTTTACAAAACTTTATGAAAGTAAAAAAATCTTTCGCGATGATCATAATCCACATCGTGTGTTTGCAAACGAAATAGAGCGAGTAGAAAGTAACGAAAATTTAAAACGACAAAATACTATTCAATTAATGTTGCTAGATAACAAAAAAGGCACGCATTGCGTTTCCTTACTAACTAAACGCTTTCAATATCGATTTGAAAATGCCTTGCAGGGTAATATATGTGATTTTTGTCAAAATTGTTATGATAATCATAGAGCGCATCGAACATGTGCAGGATTTTATAAAGACAACAAACTTGTTTATCCGCTAAAAAAGCGTTTTTACGAACCTCAACAAGTTCTTTTCCATCAATCTCGCAACTGTTTTCCTTTGTATATCACGTTTGATTGTGAAACTGAAACACGCGACGGACAATTATTTTATTATTGTCACAGTGTGACTCTTTTTTGTACGAATGAAAAGTTGAGCGCTGAAATTTTTGGTTACGATACTCAAGGCAACGTTTTGAGAGAATCAAGCATGTTTTTTTTAAATACAAAAGAGAGTATGGAATTTTTGTTTCAAAAGTTGCCTTGGTCTTTTCGACAACACGTGAATCCGTTATTAGAGGTAGTTCGTTTAAAACGTTGGCAAAGAGTTGAAGATGTGTCGGACTTATAGAGTTTACGTGTTTTTGATCTTTTCGCTATATGTTATGTCGTTATTTCTTTAATGCAAGAAAAGTTAAAAGCAAATCAATTGCTTCGTATTTCGCGGAACGAAAGACAACAACTGTTTGATGAAGAGCTTCCGAAATGTACCATATGTAAATTGAGTGTGGACAAACGCGTTTATGGCAACACCATTTTGTCAAGCAATCATAACGTGTACCAATGCGAAGATGCTTATCATGCTCCTGTCGTTTACATTTTGTTCGGTAATATTAGCAAAATGAATCATTTCACTCTTAGTCGTTTTAGTTCAAACTATTTGCAAGTAACAAGCAAGGAGAATATCGAAAAGCATTTGCTATATCTTTTTTGCATTTTTGTATGTTTTTATTTGTTTGAAAGTCGCGTTTTGTGTCGTGTTCAAAATGGAAGTTTGTGTGAATATTTGATGGTCAGCAATGATACACTATTAGCAATAGTCAATACAGTTCGAAGAAGATTTGAATTAGAGGAAGAAACGTTTGAAGACATGTTATCCGATTCGTATTTTTTTTTATAATGAAATTTTGTTTCTAGTAGGCAAAATCAATTGTCTCTATACAGACTATTCAGTCGTTTTAAAATATTTTGATTTTACGAGTAGCGTTAGTAAATTGGGACAAGTATGGGACCATTGTCTAGTGGCAGGAAGTTTAAGTATGTCTGAAGAAACTCCAACCGAATATGTCAACAATAATAAAGCAACCCTGGAAACATATTTGCAATCTCTCGTGTATCGCTATATCGATCATGCAGTTATCAATCACGACCATTGGACTGGTTCCGTATTGGGGTTGGCGCATTCGTATTGCAATGTACAATATGGCAGAGTTGAAAAGCCACGCGTAGACATTTTTTCGCACAATGCTCCTTTCGATCACAGCGTAATGATTAATAAGCACTTTGAAGAATTTTGCAGCTTTCCGTGGTCACATAAAGACGATCCTGATCTAGGCGATTTTGATAACATCGTCAAACGACTGTCGTTAGAACATTCTTTTTTTATTACTGACAACATGAGCAAAATTAAATCGTTATCGTTTGGGGATTTTTGTGTGTTTAAAGACAGTTATCGTATTACAAACACGTCGCTAGCAGATGCTACTCGTAATTTAGACACAAAAACTAAAGAACAAGTACGTTTGTCGGTTATACATTATTTGATTAAAACAAAAATCGTTTCGCATCAACAAGGAGCTAACTTGATTAGCAATGTCGAAGGAACTCAGTTTTTTACAGGAAAAAGTTGCTTTCCTTACTCTAAAATTAGTTATAAAAGTTTGGAAGAGCCGCTCGTCGACGTTGACGGTAACCCATGTTGCCCGCCTATCGAAGATTTTTTACACAACAAATTGAGTCGAAGTAAAAACGAAGAAGATGAACGAGTCGCGCTAAAGGAACCTTATGAAAACGTGGTAGCCATGTGGAAAATGTTAGATTTGAAAAAATACTCTACTTTGTTGGAAATTTATAATGTCATTGACACGATCGCTTTGGCATTTGTTTTATATGATTTTGACAATAAAATTTACAACGAACTTCATTTTCATGCCATCTCGGAACTTTCTTCTTTTTCCTTTTCAAGTAAAATGAATTCGTATATTGGCAATATCGCTATTCAACATCCTCCTTCTAAAGAACATCATCGTATGATTGAAGAATGCATGAAAGGAGGCATGTCTACAAACGGCACACAGAGCGTCGCCTTAGACACTTCGTATTTTGAGAATGTTTTAAATGAACAACCTAATGTGTCGAATAAAATTTTGATAATGGATGAAAATGGTCAGTATGCTGGCGCCCAAGAACTGCTTCTACCGTTTGCTATGCGTAGTTTTATCGAATATCATTATCAAACGTTGCAAGAAGTAGTTGATGTTTATGGTGGCGAAAGTGATGGTTCGTTTGTTAAAAGTGCACTTGTAAGATGCGTTATCAAAATTGACGATCGTTATCACTGGCTCACTGGCGGTATTTTGCCTTGTATTAAACGCGACAGCATTTCGATATGCGATCTGTCGCCGAGCGAAATTTTAGACAAACGAAAATGGGACACTCTCTCCAATTCTTTTCAAATAGCGCTCGATAAAGGCGAAAGACTCGTGTACAAATTAGACGAGCACGAAACTGTCGAATCTTTGGATCGTCTTCTATGGATGACTAAACATGAACATGTTATTATAGTTAAAATACTAGCCGTTGTAGGTGTTGTTCGTTATAATTTAGCAAAAGAATTTGTGAGCAGTTTATCGAAAAAAAGAGCTGAAGCAAACGCTGTCGGTGATAAAGTAAAAGACGGATCTTTTAAATTGATGATAAACGGGCATTATGGCTGGACAGCGAGAAAGAGCGAAACCTATAAAAATTGCAAGTTTATAGTGAACAAGCAAAAGTGTCTGAGAAAAAGTTTGCAAATTATAATCGAATCAGTAAATTATTTAAAAGAAAACGGTATATTCGAAAATGAAACCTGTTTGCCTGCCAGTTTAACAACTCTTTTAGACGTGCACGATGTAGAGCAAGTATGCATTGATTTAAGTGATAAACGAATTCGTCGCGATGGAATTGATTCTTATTCAAGTATTTATAAGCATTTAATATTGACTGAAATATTTCATT